AGCGAGCTAGGACTACCCCCGCCCGCTCTTCAACCGGGCCAGGACGTGTTACTACCTCGGGCGCCTGCAAGAGGCGCTGGGCGACTACTCGGAAGTGCTCCGTCTCGACCCTGAAGACGCCGAAGCCTACAATAATCGCGGTCTGGCCTTCGATGCCCTGGGGGACTATGACTCGGCGGTCGCGGACTACGAAAGAGCGCTGGAGGTACGGGACGACTTCGCCGAGGCCCACAGCAACCGGGGAGCGGTGCTTGAAGCGCAGGGGAAGGTGGACGAAGCTCTTGAGGCGTACCGCGCGGCACTATCAGTCAATCCCAGGCTGGGCTCGGCGCACTACAACGCGGCGCGGGTCTATTCGCAGTTGGGCGACGTGGAGGAGTGCCTCAGGCACCTGGACAGCCTGCTGGCCCTGGCCCCCGAGTTGGCGGAGGATGCTGCCCACGACGAGCACCTGGGCTGGGCACTGCGCCTGCGGGAGATGCGGGAGTCGAGGGGGACAGACGGTACGCCGGGCTAGACCACCTGGTCCGTTCCAGAGACTTCCGGCGCGAGTTCGGCGTCGGGTTGCAGCTCAGGCTCCAGTAGTTGATGGTCTGCCGAGTTGATGCGCCGGCGCACGATCATGCTCCGGACCAGGACCAGCAAGGCGAGGGCAGTCAGACCGGTTACCAAAAAAGAAAAAACCCAACAAAAAAAAAAAACAAAAAAAAAAAAAAAAAACAACAAAAAAAAAAAAACCTCCCTTTCTACACCGGGAGACATTCCGGGTTCTATGTTGTAAGCCAGGCTGAGTCCCAGCATGAGCGAGAAGCCGGTGAAGATTCCCAACGAAGACCTCAGGTAGTTTTTCCGAAACAGCCGCGGTGCCACTCGATCACGTGCGTCTGCCAGCCACCGTCAGTACCGGGACCAAGGCCATGCTCACGCCGATGAGGGGCGTCATGGCGTCCCCACCGCGGAACGAAGAAAACACCGACGCCCAGTGGCCAATGACAGCAGCCGCCGCCGCGACGAGGGTCAATGGCGCCTCGATGCCCAGGGCCCAGGGCACAGCAACCGCGGCGGAACCCTTTCCAACATCGCCCGCAAACACCAGCAGAGCGCTGCGCTGGGGAGGGGTGACACATTCCAGTCCCGTTTTCACCCAGGGGCCCACAGCCTCACACCCACGCGTGCTGCGAGTTATGCTGCGGTGCTGAAGATGTCCACTCCCTTGATGTAGCGGCTGATCCAATGGGCAAACGGCAATGCGCCCAGCAGGTAGCCGATAACACCTGAGGCGACGAGCTGCAGAATTTCGGTTGTGGTTTCAGGCATTTTCGTCGTTTGCAGTCAGAATGGCGCCGTAGGCTTCCAGTCTTTCCCCAAAAATCGTTGCGAGACATAAATATAGCAGTCAACTGTCCGGGTTGATAGCGGACTGGAAGGGAGATTGTTGCGGTCTCCCAGCCGTAGCCCTGAAGGCGTGGCGCCAGCAGGGAGGGCATTGAGGGGAACACGCAGGCAGGAGGGGTAGGCGTATACTTGGGACGCTGTCCAGATAGGGCAGACTCAGGCAACGTGATGTTATTCAATTGCGTCCCTGCGAGGGCAAGAAACATGACCGCTTCCACTTCCGCCGGACCCCTGGCCGGCGTCGCAGTTCTGGACCTAACCCAAATCCTTGCGGGGCCGATGTGCACAATGGTGCTGGCCGACATGGGTGCGGACGTGATCAAGGTCGAGAAGCCCAACGGCGGCGACGACAACCGGCGGATGGGGCCTCCCTTCGTCAAGGACTGGTCGGCAGGGTTTCTTGCCGTCAATCGCAACCAGCGGAGCCTGGCGCTTGATCTACAGAACGAAGAAGGACGCAAGGTCTTCAAACGGCTGGTTGAAGGTGCGGACGTGGTCGTCGAAAACTTTCGACCCGGCGTCATGGAGCGGTTGGGCTTGGCGTACGAGGAGCTGAGGAAGATCAAGCCAGCCTTGGTGTACTGCACCATCTCGGGATTCGGCAGCACCGGGCCGGCGCGAAACCGCGGCGGATTCGACTTGGTGGCGCAGGGTGTCAGCGGGTTGATGAGCATCACGGGACATCCCAACTCGCCGCCGGCCAAGGTTGGCGTGCCCATCACCGATCTCACCGCAGGCCTGTATGGGGCCAACGGGATCATGGCGGCCTACATTCACGCGCTGAGGACCGGGGAGGGCCAGATGGTAGACACCTCCCTGATGGAGGCGGGGGTTGCCTACACCGTCTGGGAGTCGTCGGTCTATTTCGCTGAAGGGGAGATTCCCGGACCGCTGGGTTCGGCGCACCGGGTCTCGGCGCCGTACCAGGCCCTGCGTACGCGGAACGGCTACCTGAACCTGGGTGCGGCGACGCAGCCGACCTGGGAGCAGCTATGCCGGGCCATCGGCCTGGAGGACCTGATGGAGGACGACCGGTTCCGCAACCCGTGGGACAGGAAGGCCCGGGAGGAGGAACTGGCGGCCCTGCTGGAGGAGACCTTTTCGACCGATGATACGGAGCGCTGGCTGGAGCTGCTGGATGGTGCAGGGGTGGTCGCCGGACCGATCTACAACATGGAGCAGGTCTACCAGGACCCCCAGGTGTTGGCCCGGGAGATGCTGGTCGAAATGGAAGACCCAGACCTGGGGACGATACGGAACATCGGGGTGCCGGTGAAACTCTCAGAGACTCCGGGCAGCATACGGAGGCGAGCACCGGCGCTTGGGGAGCACTCGGCGGAGATCCTGCTGGAGTGGGGGTTCGGCCAGAACGAGGTGGACGGCCTGCTGGCTGATGGCGTCATCCTGGCGAACCAGGGCAGCGGCAGCCGCCGGTAGAGGATGGGGCTGTCCGAAACCTAGTCGTCGCCGAAGTAGCGGCGGCGGTCTGAATCGTCCAGCTTCTGGCCGGGGCCGCTGAGGAAGGTGTCGGGGTTGCGGGTCCGGTCATCTCGCCAGCTGCGAAACGCTCGGCCGCGGGCGGCGTCGGCTTCGGGGCCGGTGTCCATCAGGAGTTCGGTCTGCCAGTTCTCCATTGAGTGGACCACCGAGAAGTACTGCTGGCGGGCTTCGGCGTAGGCCATTCCCGCCTCGTCCCAGTCGTCGTGAGAGAGCAGGTGGTCCTTCAGGACGCGTGCGTCGCGGAGGGCCATGGAAAGACCCTGTCCCCAAGTGGGGTCGGTGTTGGCGGCGGCATCACCCACCAGGGCTACACCGCTGCGATAGGCCGTTTCCGCCCAGGTCGACCGGCCGTCGAATGTTGCCAGAGGGCCGGCAGGGCTGGCGCTGGCGTAGACCTCGGCGGATACGCCGGAGGCGATGCACTGGTTGAGGACTTCTCGCACGTCGCCCGATCCGCCGTACCGCCTGGCGCTTCCGGCGGCGTAGCAGAGGTAGACCCGGGCGCGGCCCTGGCCTTGGGGGAAGTTGAGGATGAAGTGCCCGGCTTCGGTGTTCAACCAGGCATGGGTGGCGTCGTCCGACAGTTCAACGCCATCCATGAGTACGCCGGACACGAGGTTGCGCTCGGGGTCCTGGCGTACGGGGAATTCGGCCCATCCACGGGTAGGCGAGCCCCGCCCGTCGGCGCCGACGATCAGGCGGGCCGAGAACTGCCGGGTGGCACCGTTTCGTTCCACGGAAACCGTGGGAGGGGACGAGTTGCTGGCTGGGCTCATGCCGGAGACACGGGCGCCGCGCCAGACCTCGGCGCCGGACTCCTCGGCGTACTCGAGCAGGGCGGTCTGGAACGATGGATGGTAGCAGGCCATCACGGGTTCCTGGACTAGGGTGGTACGGGTGAGGTCCCGGTGCCCGGTCCGGTCGGCACCCTGGTACGAGTCCCAGAACGGCAGGGGGTTGGCTCCCCCCTTCCTGAGCACGGGCTCCAGGCCCATGAGACGGACCTCCGCGACTCCCCAGGGCATTACGGCTTCGCCGCGCACCCGGTCGCGAAAGGACCGTTCGGCCTCGACGACCAGGGTCCGAGCGCCCGCGGATGCCATACCGGCGGCCAAGGCAGAGCCGCCAACTCCGCCGCCGATGATTATGAGGTCATAGCCGTTGCTCAAGCGAATCGCTCCGCAGGAGGTGTGGGGACCCTCGGGTCAGGGTGCCGTCCGCCAGGGCAAGCCGTCGGTGGCGGCCAGGAAACCGTCGATGAGGGTGGGGCTGGAGCAGATAACGCTGGGCGTGAACAGACCGGCTTCATTCCCCTGCCGGTCAACAATTCGGCCACCAGCCTCTTCGGCAAGGATGAGGCCTGCCGCTATGTCCCAGGGCGAAAGGGAGTGGTGGAAGAAGAGGTCCACCCTGCCAGAGGCGGCGTAGGCAACGCCCAGTCCGGCGGACCCCATCAGGCGCACGCTGTACATCCCCGGCCAGAGGGAGCGGAGCATGTCCAGGGCGAGTCCGGCCTTTTCGTCGACATAGCCCAGATCGCAGCTGAGCAGGCAGCGGGACAGCTCGGTGGTCTCCGAGACCGAGATTGGAGTGCCGTTGAGGAAGGCGCCCTGTCCCCGGGAAGCGGTGAAGGTCTCTTCGCGAACCGGGTCGTAGATCACACCCGCGATGATGTCATCGCCCTCGGACAGCGCGACGATGGTGCAGAAGTGGGGGATGCTATGGGCGTAGTTCCTGGTGCCGTCCAGAGGGTCAACCACCCAGCGGTAGGGCGAGGCCCCGGCCACGGGCTGTGATTCTTCGGCGAGGATGCCGAAGTCGGGGAATGCGCCGGTCAGGATCTCCAGGATCGCCTTCTCAGCGGCGACGTCGATGTCGGTCACGATGTCGGCGCGGCCCTTGAAGGTGATCTGCTTGTCGGAGTCCCAGCCGTTCCGGATGATTTCCCCGGCCGTCCGTGTGGCTTGAAGGGCTACGTCCATGGCGCTGCGCCCATCGGAAGTAACCGGCAGGGCGCCTGTCGATTTTTCTGTCATTTCGCTCCGGCCTTTGAGTTGAAGGGTGCTACCGGCTCCGAATTACCGGCCTGTAGGCATAAGAGTTGTGCGTGGAGATGCAGCTTCATCTATCGCCAGGACAGGAAGTTGAGACCGGAGTTAATCTTCAGATTCTGGCTTCCCAACTGAACTGTCTGTTCCTTGCTGGCCTCGATCCAGTAGATCTTGCCCGTGGTCAATTCCGTGAGTGATCCGATGGCGGAGGAGTCATCTACCGATACACCGGGTGGAAGAGGCAATTCATCTGGGGAAAAGGTGCCGCTGGGGTCGTAGACGAACAATTTCTGGGTTGCATTGTCGTAGTGGGCCACCCATATCAGGTTGTCGCCCATGGCAGCAAGGGTGACCGCTATTGGCGGCTTGTCGGGTTCCGGCGTGGGTGTGGGAGTGGAAGTCGGCTCCGGCGTGGCCGTTGGCTCCGGGGTCGGAGTATCCTCCGGGACCGCTGTCGGGCGCGGTTCAGGCGTATTGGTGGACTCAGGGGCCGCGGTTGGCACGGGTGCCTCCGTTGGGGCGGGCGGTTCGGTAGGCGCCGGCGGGTCGGTTGGGGCGGGCGCCTCGGTTGGTGCGGTAGTCGCCGTTGGCGCGGTAGTCGCCGTTGGCGCCGGCGCGGGAGTGTCAGGCGGGCTGGTAGGAGCCTGAGTAGGTTCCGCGACGGGGGTGGGGGGTACTGGGGTGTCGGGGGCGGTCGTAGGTTCGCTGCCGCAGGCGACCAAAGCGGCCACGAGCAGCCCTGCGAGCACAATTGCTGCCAGTTTCCTCATCATTCTCCAGTTTGATCGGTCATCTTGGTCACTACCGGGCAAGCCCCATCTTCTCGTAGACTTCCTCGATGGTGCGGACCGCTATGGCGCGGGCCCGCTTGCCGCCGTCTTCAAGGATTTCCCGCACATGGCCGGGGCGGGACTCAAACTCGCGCCGCCGCTCCCTCAGGGGTTCCAGGAAGTCGTTGATGCTGCCAGCGAGCTGGCGCTTGCAGTCCACGCAGCCCCGGGTGGCGGTAACGCACTCGTCATAGGCCGCAGTGACGCTGGCCGTGGGGCTGAACATCCTTGCATCGAGTAGACGTTGCAGACCTCGGGCCGACCCGGGATGTTCCGAGTGGTTCGTTGGGGGTCGGTGAAGGCGGTCATTATCCGCTTGGAGGTGTCGTCGGGGGTGGCCGCAAGGTCCAGGTGATTGTCCAAAGATTTGGACATCTTGGCCTGCCCGTCCAGTCCTAGGAGCAGTGGCGATTCGGTCAGCTTAGCCTGAGGCTCCGGGAAGGTGTCGCCGAAGAAGTTGTTGAAACGACGGGCTATTTCCCGGGAAAGCTCGATGTGCGGAATCTGGTCGCGGCCCACGGGGACGGTGTCGGCCTTGTAGAGAATGATGTCGGCAGTCTGCAGGACAGGATAACCGACGAGGCCATAATTCACCGTTTCTTCGGTCTCATCCATCTGCCGCACCTTTTCCTTGAAGGTGGGTACGCGGGTGAGCCAGCCGAGGGGGGTGACCATGCTCAGCAAGGTGTGCAGGGTCATTACCTCGGGAACCTGGGACTGGACGAAGATGATGCTGCGCTCCGGGTCAAGCCCGGCGGCCAGCCAGTCCAGGATCATGTCCTCTATATTCGACTGAATCGAGGCGACGTCGGCCTCGGATTCGACGGTGGTTAGCGCGTGAATGTCCACGGCGCAGTAGATGCAGTCGTAGTCGTCCTGGAGGGCTACCCAGTTCTGCAAGGCGCCTATGTAGTTGCCGAGGTGCAGGAGGCCCGTGGGCCGCATCCCGGAGAAGATGACGCCTTGCTTGCTGCCGTTGTTTGCAGAGGTCATAGTCGCAGTCCAGTATCGGAAATCGGAATATGAAGACTCGCTTTCAATCTAACACCGAGCGGTGGTGGGCGCAATTGTAATCCGTCATTGCGGGAATGCAGACCGGTCATTTCGTGAACGGGTCTTCACTAATCCACCTCGCAGGTCCGTCCATTTGAAGTGCTTTGAGATCAGACGGTAGAAGCCCCAGCCGAAGTTCCTCGCGTGCAGTGCGCCGTAGGCCTGCCACCGTTCCAACTCGGCAAGGGCCTCGGGGTGAGCATCTTCTCCGGGAACGAGGGTGGGAAGAACATCCTCGCTGTCACATTCGTAAAGGGCGAGATACTTTGGCCCGGTGTTGAAGTCGCTGAGGGAAGGGTGGTCAAGCCGCCGGAAGCGGGCGCCGAGGGAGTATCCTGGCACGTTGAGGACGCCGGGGAGATGAGACTCGGTGTACCAGCGGTCCCATTCCGCCTCATGGTGAGGGTCAACATCGGCACGCCGTTACGATGCTTAGCGGCTGGTCCGAAAGCAGCAGCGGGTCTCTGAGCGTGTCCCCGGCGATCTGCTCGTAGACGTTTGAGACGTGGTCGCTCATGCCCTGCAGTGTGCTGTTATTCTGAAGACGAGTATTCCGAATTACAGACAATGGGTGCAGTCCGGTCACACGAACTGCAAACAGGCGGGCAGGTCATCGGCGCTGCGGACGCCGTAGAGGGCCGTGAATCTGGTGCCGCCGTCCAGGTTTACATAGCGCTGGGCCCACTGGTAACCCGGGATTCGCAGCAGGTTGGGCAGGTGGCTGTTGTACCAGGTAGTGAACGGTTCCAGGTATTCCCGGGCACAGCTCATCTGCACGTCATCTAGCATGCATTATGAGTCCCGCTCAGGCAGGCATGCGGGGACTCCTCGAGGCAACCACTTCCAGGAGGCCACCGCTGTAGGATGAGTCCTCAAGGCCCCGCTGCATTCCACGCAGGTAGGCGATCTGTCCGCCGTGCTGGTTGAATTCCCATAGGAGCTGCTGGCACATGTTACCAAGGGTCATGGTTCCCCCGCGAGGATTGGCCACGCTCATTTCGTCAAAGTCGGACTCGGAGCGATCCGCCAGGTAGGCTTTGGCCGACCCAAGGGTTGCCTCAGCATATTCCAGCAATAGAGCGGTGTCCGGGGGAAGAAATGCAGCGAGCCGGTCCGGTCCGTACCCGTAGCCGGTGTCATTGGAATCCGTGATCTCTTGCCCGAGCCTCCCGGCCCAACCCAGCTCCAAGAGCTGGGGAACGCCCAGCAAGCGGGAGTGAACCCAGCGGTCGAGGGTGCGTCCATAGTGCCAGAGCAGAAAGCAAAGCCGATGGAAGAGCACTCAGGAGTGGGCATCCACCGCACCTCGTCATCGGAAAGCCCCTCCACGGACCGGACCATGGCGTTGAAGTGCTGGTCGAGGCAGCCGGACACGAAATCGTTCAACTTCATACAGAAACCTCAGGCCATGGACGACCTGCCAAAGCGCTTTCAGCGGGGTATAAGGAACGGCCACGCAGCATGGCGCGTGGCCGGGTGATGATTACGGGTGACGGTCCGCGAGTGGCTCGTCAGTCATCCTGATCGGATTCGGTCTCGCTTTCCAGCTGTCGCCACCCAAAACTAACTCGCTGAGAAAGCCGCGATCCGGGAGATGGAGTGAGTAGTGGCGAACCGCTTTCTCCGAGGGAGAGGATGACGCTTCGCAGTGAGACTGGCGTCGTAGAGTACTGACTCCATCTGCTGGATCAGCGTCTTCAACTCCGAATTTCGATCCACGGTGGCGTTGAGTTCCCGGTACTGGCGCTGTCCGCGTCGAACCGGAGCCAGGTCAGGAGGTATGTTCTCGTAAACCGAGGACAGAACCTCGATCATTCGGGAAGTGCCTGCGTATAGTCATCTTCAGCTGGACTATCTGCTGACATGAGTTGCTGCGTCTTCAGATGTCGTCCTTTTCAATTCCCTCGGAGAGGAGGTTCATGATCGTAGTCGGGCCCTGATAGGTGCTCTGTTGCAGCTTGAAGTTGGGTACATGACGCTTCTGTTCCACCGATCCGAGGGAACCCGTCACCAGCAACGGGCGGGTGTGGGGCACCGCGTCATACATGGCGCCGATGCGGCAGTATCGCTTCACCCCGAAGTGGCGGACAACTTCTAGGATGGAGTCCGTGTAGTCTCGCCAGCTGGAGCATTGGAGAGTGATGGCTTTTCCAGCAGGTGGGAGGCGAACAGGTAGTCGGGGCCGTTCTCGGTGGTCGCGTAGCGGATGGTGCTGTTGGGGATCTTTACCTGCCTCGCGCCATCCACGAATCGCATGTTTGGGCGGTAACGCGTGAAGTCGAAGAAAGTGCCGGGACGGTGCAGGCGGCCCAACTCCTTGGACCCCATGAACCGTTCCAGACGGTTCAGCGTGAGAGTGCCCACGCTGCCCACATCCACCCAAGGGCGAATCATGGCGAAAGCATGAGGCTCCCTGAGCACCGGAACAGGTTCGACTATTTCAAAAGCTCCTAATTTCATGGGGCCATCTTGCCAGATTGGTTACGGTTTTTCAAGCGCGCTGCGTCATGCGACGCAGCTGTTTACTGCTGGCTGAGCAGCGAGTCGGCGGAGCCGAGGCCTTCAAGAGCGAGGCCGTAACCCAGGAGATCCTGCATCAACCGCTTGATGTACTGGGTGGTGGCGACCCGGGTGTAACGCAGGACCAGGTCGGACTTCTCGGCGACCTGACGGGCGAGTTCCCAGGCGCGAGGCAGCAGATCGTCTGGAGGCAGGACCTCGCCGACCAGCCCCGAGGGAGAGGGCCTCCTGGGCGCCGATTGACTGGCCGGTAAGGAGGAAGTAGCGCCCGCGATTGGCCCCGAGCAGCATCGGATACACAACATGCACTCCGTCGCCCGGCACGAGATTGCTCATGAAGTGGCCGGAGTCCTGGAAGGCGGCGGTATCGGAAGCCAGTACGATGTCGCACAGGAGGGGGATCTCGGAATGACGAAGGGCAGGCCCGTTGACGGCGGCAATCATCGGGACTTCGATGTCGAGAAGATTGCCGAGTAGCTTCTTGCCTTCCCAGTATGTTCGGTCCCAGTCTCGGGGCGCACGCTTGGGCGTGCCGGCTGCGGTACCCTGGGGGCCGGAAAAGGTGTCGCCGGAACCTGTCAGGATGATGACCCGGTTGTCGCGGTCGCTGCCCACGTCGGCAAAGGCGCGTGGGAATTCCTCGTGAGGGCCGGAGCCCCATTGCAGCGGACCACCATTGGTGTGGAAAGTCATCTGCAGGATTCCGTCCCGCCGCTCGAAACGGATGTTGTCGTAGTTGTTCGCGTATTGTTCGAGGGACGCCAAGTTGCCTCCCGCCGTAAGGGATGGCGAGAGTCTATACCCCTGCAAAAGAAGGGTCAACGATGGCAGCCCGGCCCGTTCCCAGCGGCCGACAGAGCCCGTTGGCGCACACTTTCCCCGCCCGTGGAGGGAGTCAGGTTGCGGGAGCGGGGTCAGGGGCGTCCTTCAAGGACGCCCCCTGTGATTGTCCCCCGTTACCAGGGTGATCAGCCGGCGCTGGCCATTTCGTGCTCGGTATGGGACTCGTAGCTGCCGTCCGATTCTGACGTCGGCTGAGACTCCCTGTGGACCACGGTGTTCTTGAGGAAGGTGGCCGACTTGGCACTCGTGGTATCCCGGGCATTGACGTGTTCCATGATGAAGTTGGACACGTCCCGGTGAAGCGAGTCGCTGAGATTGCAGTTCCTGAGCAGATCGAAGCCGGGGTCCATGTCTTCCAGCATCTGCTTTACCCGCGCTTCCCCGTGGCGGGCGGCGAGGGCGTAGGCGAGACCACGAGGGTCGCGGTCGTACTGCCGCTGTTCCTCGCCGACCTCTTCCAGCTCGACGTCGTAGTCGACCCGGTCAACTATGGCGAGGGCTTCGGCTGCGCGGCGGCGGCGAGTGTTGACGTCCTTCATGGCGGCGAAAAGGGCTGCCACGGTCTGGGAGGCGCTGTTCAGAAGCGCTGGGATCTCCACCTGGCGGACACTGGCGGATTCCACCATCTGTTTTGCTTCAACCAGCGACAGGTCCCTGCGTCGCAGGCTATCCTCGAACTTGGCGGCCCGTTCCTGTTTCATTCTCAACTCCGGCGCCTCTGAGGCGAGGGGCTGCAGGCGCGCCAGTTCCCGCTCTGCCATCTCGGCCTGCTTGAGCCTCTGTAGCATTAATTCGTCAAAATCGATGGGCATGGCAAACACTCCTCAGACTAAGATGATTTACGGAAGGCGCACTTTCCAGTCCAATGGCCAGATAAATGGATAAATGGGCCAAAGGGCTGAATTTTTAGTCCCAGACTCGATGCAACGGGTGGGCCGGCCCGGCGCACGGCCGGCCTGATAGAAACCTTGTCCTTCGAGCCTTCGGGCTGGTGCGGCCCCACGCCGCGTCAGACGCAAACCCCCGTGTAATCTATTGAAGCCCCGGCCTCATCCGGGCCTTGGGGCAAGTTGGGCCGGTATCAGGCGATCCGGCGCGATAGCTGCCCATCAGGGCAGGAAATAATGCGTAACGGTTTACCCGTTGCGGGTATTACTATACCGCGAAGAGCACAAATTCTGCCGCGTTATCGGGCGCCATTTTTATCGAATTTTGAAATTTTTATAAATTTATCACCCCGGCTAGGCACTGGCTGGGACTTATGGTCAAGTGATCTCCTCAGCGGGATGGCCGGGGTGTATGCTTGAAGCGGCGACGAATCGAGCTCACCATGGTGATGTGGCCCTGCCGGGTTTCGGGCCTGGGTAGTCGAGTGAAAGCATCAATTCAGAGCATCGTCTGTCACTAAAGTCAGGAGTGGAGATATGCCCCGGGCTGCATTTGTATACGACGAACAGATGTCGAGACACGAGCTGCGGAGCGACCACCCGATGCGGCCGGTCAGGCTTCGATACACCTACGAGCTGCTGCAGGGCTACGGGGCGTTCGACAGCGAAGACGCCGTGCTGGTCAGTCCCCGGTCCGCCCTGGAGGAAGAGATCGGCTGGCTGCACACTCCCGAGTACATCGATGCCGTCAAGCGGCTCAGCGCCGGCGAGGGAACGCACGAGGCCCACCGGTTCAATTTCAGCCTGCAGGGAGACAATCCCTACTACCGGGGGATGTACGAGGCGGCTGCGCTCAGTTCGGGTGCCACGCTGCTGGCCGCAGAGATGGTGGCGGACGGGACGGTGGACGCGGCCTTCAACATCTCCGGAGGACTGCATCACGCCGCCGCCAGGCACGCCTCCGGGTTCTGCGTGTTCAACGACCCGGCCCTCGCGATTCACCTGTTCCTTCGACGGGGGATGCGGGTTGTGTACATAGACGTGGACGCACACCACGGCGACGGCGTGCAGGAAGCGTTTTTCGACGACGACAGGGTGCTGACCATCTCGGTGCACGAGTCGGGCCGGTACCTGTTTCCGGGGTCCGGGTTTGTTGAGGAACTGGGGGCGGGGAACGCACGGGGCTATTCGGTCAACCTGCCCCTCTTCCCCTACACGGGAGACGACGTGTACCTCGACTCGTTCCGCCAGATCGTGCCGCCACTGGTACGGGCGTTTGCAGCCGACGTGCTGGTGACGCAGCTGGGGATCGACAGCTATCATTCGGACCCGCTTACGCATCTGCAACTGACGACCATGGGCTTCGTGGAGGTGGTACGGGAGCTGGGCGCACTTGGGGTGCCGTGGCTCGCAATGGGTGGCGGCGGGTACGACCTGATGGCCGTTGCCCGGGCCTGGACGCTGGCCTACGGCGAGATGCTGGGCGTGGAGTGGCCGGACACGCTCCCTCGCACCTTTGCGCTGGAGCACGGCATCGGACACCTGCGGGACAGCGGTTCGCCGGAGGTACCCTCGAACCTGAGGCTGGACATCAGGCGGCACGCCGGGGAAACGGTGGCGGCACTGAAGGAGCAGGTGTTCCCGGTGCACGGGGTCGCCCCGTAGCGGCGACGGTCTGGGCGGGGAGGCCGAGGACCAAAAGAGAAGGGGACGGAACTGCGTCCGTCCCCGCTGTGGTAGCTGGAATTGCCATGCCTGATGGCTGACCGGGTTCAGTCCACGCGTTGCTGCGGTGTGATCAGGTCCTTGGCCTCGTCGCCCACGTTGGCCTCCAGGCTGTCCCTCAGCGTGGAGAAGATGGACTTGTTGATGGCGGACATCAGCCAGTCCTCAGCTTCGGAATCCCCCTGATAGCTGTCCTTCAGGGCGATCAAGCGCTTCATCATGCTCAGATAGTGGTACTGGAGGGGCGTGAGATCCCGCTCAATTCCCTCCACTCGCCACTGGCTGAGCGAGGGATTTGAGATGACAGGCGCGAAATCGCCGTCGGGGCCTTCAGGGTTCAATAGTTCTCTGTCTGCTCGTTCTGGCTGCGCGTTCATGCGACCACCACCCGCTTTCAACCAAGGGTTTTCCTGGAAATCCAGGACTTTATGTCCGTGCTAAAAACTGATTATACCAGTTCTTGACTATCACCGTAATCGCTTGGGAACGTGCCGTCGAGGCGGATTTGGATCAATTTAGTGCCGGGGAGGTGGGCCAGACGCCTCTTTCTCCCCAGCTCCAGAGCGTGCCACCGCACTTAGACCTCGCGGAAATTCACCCTCAACGGTGCCCGCATCGTCCGACGGGCCGTCGTCCATTCCTCCGGCTTCGGGGGCTCCGGCTCCGGGTCCGGGCCCGGCGTTCTGGCTGTAGATCACTTCACCCAGGCTCTGCAGCGCAGCATTCAACTCGTTGATCCCCGTTTGCATTTCGGTGAGGTTGCCTGACGCGGAGGCTGCCCGAAGGGCGTCGATCTTGCTCTGGACCTCGGCCCTCAACTCCTGGGGGACCTTGTCTGCGTTGTCGTTGAGGAGCTTCTCGGCTTGGTAGACCATTGAGTCAGCCTGGTTTCGGGTCTCGACCTCTTCGCGGCGCTTCTGGTCGTCGGCCTCGTATTGGCGGGCCTCGTCCACCATTCGCTCGATGTCGGACTTGTCCACGCCGGAACCGGACTGAATGACGATGCGCTGCTCCTTTCCCGTGCCCTTGTCCTGGGCGGATACGCTGAGGATGCCGTTGGCATCGATGTCGAAGGTCACCTCGATCTGGGGAATGCCCCTGGGGGCCGGGATAATCCCGTCCAGCATGAACCGGCCGATGGACTTGTTGTCTCCCGCCATGGTGCGCTCCCCTTGGAGCACGTGAATATCCACCGTGGTCTGGCTGTCTGCGGCCGTGGTGAATGTCTCGTTTTTCTTGGTCGGAATGGTCGTGTTGCGAGGAATCAGGGTCGTCATCACGCCGCCCAGCGTCTCCAGCCCCAGGGTGAGGGGAGAAACGTCCAGCAGCACGATGTCGCCGACCTCTCCGGCGAGCACGCCCGCCTGGATGGCCGCGCCGAGGGCGACGGCCTCGTCCGGGTTGACGTTGCGGTTGGGCTCCTTGCCGAAGATCTCCTTGACCTTCTCCTGGACGGCCGGCATGCGGGACATGCCGCCGACCATGATGACATCATCGATCTCGCTGGTCGAGAGGCCGGAGTCGGCCAGTGCGCGCTGGCAGGGACCGGCGGTCCGATCGATGAGGCCGGTCACCAACTGTTCAAACCGGCCGCGAGTCAGCGACTTGACCAGGTGCTGCGGGCCGCTGGCATCGGCGGTTATGAAGGGCAGGTTGATCTCCGTTTCCACCACGCTGGAGAGCTCGACCTTGGCGCGCTCCGCCGCGTCGCGGAGGCGCTGCAGGGCCATCCGGTCACTGGACAGGTCGATGCCCGTCTCGCGCCGGAACTCCGTGATCAGCCATTCTAGGATGGCTTGGTCGAAGTCGTCGCCGCCGAGGAAGGTGTCGCCGTTGGTCGACTTCACCTCAAACACGCCCTCGCCCATCTGGAGGATGGTGATGTCAAAGGTGCCACCGCCAAGGTCGAACACCGCGATGTTGGCGTCGGACCGGGTCTTGTCCAGCCCGTAGGCCAGAGAGGAAGCAGTTGGCTCGTTGATGATGCGCAGCACTTCCAGTCCAGCGATGGTCCCTGCGTCCTTGGTTGCCTGGCGCTGCGAGTCGTTGAAGTAGGCTGGGACCGTGATGACTGCCTGGGTTATCCGCTCGCCGAGCTTGGCTTCTGCATCCTGCTTGATTTTCTGCAGCACGAATGACGAGATCTGCGGCGGAGCATAGGTGTCGTCGCCCATCTTGACGTGCGCGTCACCGTTTGCCGCCTGCACGACTTGGTAAGGCAGCTTGGAGGCGGCGCCCATGACCTCGTGGTCGTCGAAGCGACGTCCCATGAGCCTCTTGACCGAGAAGAGCGTGTTCTCAGGGTTGGTAACCGCCTGGCGTTTTGCCACCTGACCCACATACCGCTCGCCGGTTCGAGTGTTCAGGGCCACAACGGAAGGGGTGAGGCGGGCGCCCTCGGCGTTTTCGACTACGCCGGGCTCGCCGGCTTCAATGACCGCTGCGACAGAGTTGGTTGTGCCAAGGTCTATGCCCAGGACTTTAGGCATTTCGTCTCTCCTGAATAAATTCTCAAGGTTGGCTGTAATTCTTTCTCTAGTTGTAGCCGGTTGACAGTCAGCCCGCGCCGGAGGCGGGTGCCTGTGGCTCGCGGGCCACAATCACCTGGGCCGCCCGGAGCAGCCTGTCATGGAGCCTGTATCCGGGCCGGACCAACTGGACCACATGGTCAGGCGGCTGTCCGTTGGTTTCCTGGTAGGCTAGGGCCTCATGCTGGTTGGGGTCGAAGGGTTGTCCGACCGCTGTGTCGATGAGGCTCACGCTTCGCATTTCCAGCCGCCGCTTCATCTCCCGGGACCGCCAGCTTGACGCCCTCCCCCCACTGGTCAGTTACCTCTGCGTTGAGGGCCAACTCGAGACCCTCGATGGCCGGCAGCAGGTCGAGGAGCAGATCCTCGTCCCTGTACTTGGCGGCGGAGGCACGCTGCTCCGCGAAGCGCCGCCTCTCGTTCTGCAACTCGGCTTCCTTGTACTGGACCTCGTTGCGGAACATCTCGGCTTCGGCTTCCGCGGCTTCGAGCCTTTCGGTCAGGGCAGCCACTTTCAATTCCGGTGCAAGCTGAGCGAAATCCAGGGTGTTGTCGGTTTCTTTGCCGCCACAGCCGCCTTCGCCGGCATCTTCCCGGGTGGTTTCTTCTCTTGGTTCCTGGTTTTGTTCGTCAGGCATCAGGTATTTCCTGTAGTGATTTCCGATTCATGCCACATTGGGCCTCACTGGTGAATGGGGAGGTTCAGGCTCTCGAACATCAGGTTCAATTCTTCCTTCACCTGTTCCCCGGCCTCGGGGCCAAGCCTGGCGCCCAGGCGTTGCTGCATGGTCAAAAGGTTCTGTACCGCAGCCAAGGCGAACTCGACGCCCGCCAGGTTGAGCCCCATTTCGTCAGATAGATGACGGATGAGCTGCAGCTTACGGATATCCTCCGTCGAGTATAGGCGGAGCATGCCCAGAGTTCTACCGGGCCGGACCAGTCCCAGACGCTCGTACTTTCGCAGCGTCTGGGGGTGCATGTCCAGGATTCGCGCGGCGACGCTGATGATGTAGACGCCCTCCATGGCAATTACCGCGTCGTCCTCGCGCCAGGGGCTTCGCCTACGCCGTTCTCTGGTTGGGCCGCACTGTATGGGGAAATGGACGTGTCCGCCGGCCGGTATGGTGCCTCCTGTCCCTGAATGGGCGGTGATGGCGCCCGACGCCTGGTCTGGACTCGTCTCTGTTGGGTCATATTCCAACTCCCCTGAAGGTGTTGACCTGTGCTGATTCATATGATAAGTTTTGATACAAGTCGTGTCAAGTCTGATGTTTCGGAACAAGTAAGAATCCGTTATTCAACCGCTGGCGTAGTAGTTCAAAACGATGATGGTCAAAGGCTCGAAGGTCCAGATCTAAATGGTGGCAATAGCAGAAGACCGGGAGCATAAGAAAATGGCCGTCGTCAGGGAACCGGGAGTCAACAGGCCGCAGGTAGCGGTCCTGAGAGTGCCGGCGCCGCTTCGAGAGCGAGGGCGGGCGTCGTGCAGGGAGAGGAGGTGCCAAATGATCTACTTCGGTGCGTGCCCCAAGTGCGAGGGAGATGTGACGCTGAGCCACGACAGCTACGGCAGCTTTCTGAGTTGCCTCCAGTGCGGCCTCATGCGCGACGTGGAGAGCCAGCCGGCCGCGGTGTACAGGCCCAGGCAGGTGAACCCTGTGTGGCTGGAGGAAAAGGGAACAACTGCCGCTGGCCGCATAGTCCACGCCTGCCAATCTATCTTGCCAACCAACAGGGGCGGCCAGTCGGCCGCCCCTTCCTGTTTGCCTGCTGTCATTCAGGACCGGGCTAGCGCGACAGTTCCGGCCAGAAGCGTTCTTCTTTCCAGGGATCTCCGTTGTTGTGGTAGCCGCGCTGCTCCCAGAACCCGGGAGAGTCCTCGGCCATCAGTTCGATGCCGTTGACCCACTTGGCACTCTTCCAGCCATAGAGGCTGGGGACGATGAGGCGCAGGGGCCAGCCGTGGCTCTTGCCCAGCGGCTGCCCTCCCTGCCTGTGGGCCAGGAACCCCTCTTCCAGTGCCAGGTCGAGAGGCAGGTTGGTAGTGTAGTTACCAAAGCAGTGGGCCATGATGAACCTGCTCTCTGACGAAACGCCCGCCAGCGACAGCAGGTCAGCCACCGCCACTCCCTCCCAGGTCTGGTCCAGCGCGCTCCACTGGGTGACGCAGTGGAAGTCGGCGTCCAGGACCTGCCACGGAAGCTCGGTGAATGCCTCCCAGTCGAGGCTGATTTCCTTCTCCACGAGCCCGAAAACCCGGAACTGCCAGGCGTTGATGTCGACGGTTGGTTCGGGGCCGTAGGTGAGCACCGGGAACTTGGTGGTGACGAACTGGCCGGGGGGCACACGTTCGCCGTAGCCCTGATCGGGGGCGGTCTTCACTTGGTCAGGACGCTTCAAGTCCCACCTCACGTTTGGGTATAGTTCGGAAAGCAAGAGAAAAGATTCTTCAGGGTGTTACGTGTGCCCTTCCCGGGGTGTCATCGCCTATGGTGCCGATTACGGCTCGCGTTTCCACACCTCGCGACCCCAGGGCGTCCAGCAGCGCGGCCAGCTTTTCAGAGGGCACTGATATAAGGAGGCCACCGGAAGTCTGCGCGTCGCAGAGCAACAGCCGCTCGTTTTCGCTGACGGCGTCATCCCACTCGACATAATCCTCGACGCCGGCCTGGTTTCTGTGGGTGCCGCCGGGGGCGACTCCCTGTTCCAGCAGCTCATCGACACCGGGCAGCACCGGGGCCTTCGATACACTGATCTCGGCGCTCACTCGACTGGCCCGCAGCATCCCCGTCAGGTGGCCCATCAGACCGAACCCTGTGACGTCGGTGCAGGCGTTGACGCCCACTTCCATCATGGCCTCAGAGGCGGCGCGGTTGAGCGTTGCCATTGTCTCCACGGCCGTTTCCACCGAGCCCGGAGGCGCGACACCGGCCTTGCAGCCCGTGGTTACTATGCCGGTGCCCAGTGGCTTGGTGAGCACCAGGGCGTCGCCGGGTCGTGCACCGGCGTTGGTTACCTGGCGCCCGGGCTGGACCAGGCCGACAACCGACAGACCGTACTTGGGTTCGTTGTCATCGACGGTGTGACCGCCGACGATCAGGCAGTTGGCTTCGGCGGCCTTATCGTAGCCGCCGCGAAGTACGTCGCCCAGCATCTCGACGGCCAGAGCGGCAGGAAAGCCCACCACATTCAGCGCTACCAGCGGACGCCCGCCCATGGCGTAGACGTCGCTGAGGGAGTTGGCGGCTGCGACCAGGCCGAACTCGTATGGGGTTCGTCGGTGATGGGCGTGAAGAAGTCGACCGTCATACCAGGCCGGTGCTGTCGTCCAGCCGGTAGACGGCGGCATCGTCGCCTGTGGACGATCCAACCAGCAGGTCGGGGTGTTCCACCATGGGCAGCTTGCTTAGGACCTGTACCAGGTCCTTCTGGCTCAGCTTGGCCGCTCAACCGGCGCAGTGGGAAAGCTCGGTCAGGCGAACCGGTGCGTTTACCATTGGAAAACCCCTCGAGATCGAAATATTCCGGACATTATAGCGCCGGACATTATAGCGCGGGAAGGAACCGGCTTGGCCGATGGCCCATGATGATCAGGGCAATCCCGTCTTGAAGGCTGGAATCTCATTTTGCTTTCATTTGCTCCTTGCCAAGCCTGGCGCCCCTTCTGTAACATTAGTTCTATGTTTATGACGGATGGCAAACAGAACCCGGCTGACATCCCAGTGGGTCTCTTTAACCAGCGGCCAGCCCGGAATCTGTCACGCATGACGGGAAAATGAAAAATCAGCCCCTGTAAGCCGGCAATGTCGGCTCATCCGACCCAACCTGCTGAGTTGCTGAATTCAAGGCGCTACCGCCCTGCTTGATGATACATGAGGTGGCTCTACATTGCCTGAGGTGATAAAGTGGCCGAATCCTGTTTGACCGGCAAAGGATTGCTAAATGCCGGGTTTCATTGAAAATTACAGAAGTGTAGTGCACTCGCCGGAACGGCGGCAGGTGCTCCGACTTGCAATGATCGGGCGGGCCAGTTGTGCTGGTGGGTCCCGCTCTTCCAGCTGCCGGTGACGCTGGCGCTGCCGAGCATCGCCAGGGACTTCGGGTACGGCGTCGGCGACGCGGCGTGGATCGTAATCGCCAACCTGCTGGTCCTGGGAAGCACCGTCTTCCTGGGGGCCAGGCTGGGCGACCGCTTCGGCCATCCCAGGGTGTTCTTCCTCGGGACAATTATCATCACCCTCGGCGCGGTGGGGATCGTTGCCGCCCAGGACCTCACTCAAGTAATTGTGCTGAGAGGCCTTCAAGGCTTTGGTGCGGGGCTGATACACGGCAACGGCAACGCCATGCTGGCCTTTGCCTTCCCCCAGGAGGAGAGGGGCAGAGCCTACGCCTTCCCCATCACCGGTTCCCGAATCGGCACTTTCATCGGCGTAGCCTTCTTTGGAATCCTTCTCCAGTTTGCCAACTGGGACTCCTTCGCCGGATGGCGCTGGTGTTCCTGACCATGCTGCCCATCGGCCTGATAGTAATCAAGTCGTGCCTGCCGGTGGTACGCCGCAACGACGAGTCCATCGTCGACAAGGGATACCCGATCGACTACATCGGCGCCATACTGCTGGTGGCGGTTTCGGCGACTTTCATACTGTCCGGCAGCCATCTCCACGGCGGAGAGGAGTCGTACACTTCCGGAGACGCGCTCTCGTACCACCTGCCGATGCACGGGCTGACCATCGCGCTGCTGGTGGTGTTCATCTTCGTGGAGCGGCGGGTGGCGCATCCCTTCGTGGAGTTCCAGCATTTCCGCCACAAGTACTTCACGCTGGCGATCATCTCCAACGTGATGTTCCACCTCTCGATGATGGCGACCATGATCCTGGTGCCAATAATGATCGAAGAGGGTTGGGTAAGTCGCCCATCTTCGTTACGTACGTGCTCCTGCCGCACCAGTCCTTCGGCATCTGGTTGCCGCGATCGCGGGGTTCATCCACGACAAGTTCAACCCGCGACTGCTGCGGACAGCGTGCATGCTGTCCATTGCGTCGGGCTTCGTGCTGCTGGCCCTGTTCGCCGGGACGATCTCTATCTGGTTGCTGCCGCTCCTGTTGTTCCCGATTTCCGTGGGTACCAACATCTTCAACACGGTGAATAACGCCACGGTGATGAGCACATTGCCCACCGAGAATCGTGGCTTTGCCTCAGGGGTGCTGGAGACCACCCGCGACATGGGACACGCCACAGGAGCGACCATATCCTCGTTCATCATGGCCCTGATCGTACCCGCGAGCATCGGGCTGATGCTAACGGGCGAGGCCCAGCGGCTGCACCTGGAGGGCTTCCAGATTTCGGCGTTGACCGTGGTGGGAATCATGATCGCCGGCGCGATCATCGCGGCCTTCCACCGCCCGTACAGGCCGCCGGCCGCCCCTTCCGGAGGGGAACAGCAGGCCCGGGCCGGAGCCGCGGCGGACTGATCTCTCGGGCAATTCGGTAACGAATAAAGGGGCGCACAACCGTGCGCCCCTGCGATTTTTCCCCGAAGGAATGCCCTCACCCTCTCCCTGCGGGAGGGGAAAGAGGATGGAGGGCTAGATGTTCAGCATGACGAAGCGCTCTGTCTCAGCCTGGTAGTAGTAGGTCT